CATGATTTTCCATGCGATTGTATTATAAGTATTATTTTGATAAGTAACAAATTTTACTCTATTTGAAACGCAGGTGGTGCAACGATAACAGATGTTACCATGGAAGGAGTAACAACAGAAGGTAAGAATTAAATTCCATCCATCACGATTAAATGAAGAAAACAAATTGCTGACTGAAACGCTTAGATGATTTCTTCAATAAAATGTACCTTAAATTCAAAATTTCAATCGAAAATCTCGCAATTTAAAAAATAAATAAAAAAAATTGAACACGATGCCATAATGAAACGACAAAAGTAAGAAATTACCTAAAAATAAATTACTTTTGCTTGATATTAGAAATGGAAAAATAGGTTTTTCCTGCCTTCTGCCTCATTTTGATTACTGCGGTTTATACCCTCCCCCCTACAATGAAACCTCGAATAAATTGACATTCCAGATAACTTGACCTTTTTCACTTAAATTATTTCATAAAAGAAATACATACTAGGTAGCCTAGTATTTCTTTTATTACTGTATAATGTAATCCTAGTATTTGTAATTCTAATAACTACTAATTCATTGTGCAATTTATATAAATGTTTGTAATAAATAAGAGAAAATTATAGTTTTATTTATTTAGAAGCTACGGGTTAGCTTCAAAGGAGGAGGGGTACATTGTTGGACAAGCCGTTCTCGGGGATGGGTAAAATTTCTGAGTTTTTTCGAGCCCTGCTTCATTGACTTCAAAATTGTTATGGAAGGTACATGATTTTTCGCAAACGATTTTAATTTTAGTCAATGTTATTTTCTTGGTGCGGAAATGCCACTTCTGTTAGCATCATAAAAGTCAGATCGATGAATTAAATTTTGCATCGATAAAAATTATCCTAATTGATAAAATTACGTATAAAAACAAATTTACCAATTATGAATGATAAAGCTATTTTAAATAATAAACAATTATGTTTTATTGTTTAAGTTTGCATTCAATTTTATATCATAAAAATTAGTTAGCTTTAAAAAATGAGAAGAGGTTTGTTTTTTTTTCTTTCTAAAAATAACTTTTTTTTTCTTATTTAACTTTCAACTCTAAAAGTAAATCATTGATAGCAGAGTCTTTAGTGCACTCTAATTGCAACATCGTTGTATCGTCAAAAAGAGCTCTCGCTATATAGAGGTGATCTTTTCAGGAGGTTTCATTGCATTAATGTTTCTCGTTAATTTTTTTTATTTTTTTTATTGACAGTAGAGACTTTTTTTTTAATGATTTGAGAGTGTTGTTCTGGCGAAGAGCGACGTATTTCTCATTTTTGTTAACTTGAAACATTTATCCTGCACCCTCTCAAATTTCCATTACCCGGTTATTATCCGAATTATTTTAGGTACCGGGTACCCGTTTTACTCTCAAAGCCCAGTACCGGATACTTAGTACCAATTTTACTGGGTATCCAGTGCCGGGTAGCATCTTTCTAAATCAGACATCATTTTGTGCTTTTAACAGCAATCCAATTTGAGAACTAAGGCTGTTTTTCGAAAATCTCCGTTGTAATATGAAATGACACTTTTTTGTAAATAATATGGTATTTTTATAACTGATATGAGTTTGCAACTGGACTGTTTGATCAAGTTTAGTCTATCTAAAGCCAGCGCTGTCTATGCTTATTTTGAAAATGGCACAAAACGTCAATATGGAGAAATGCAACAGTTTTATGAAAATGAAAAGCGTTTATGTTCTAAAACTTATTCCAATGCTGCATTAACTGTGCTCATAAAAATTTACAAAAGCTGAGAATAAGGCAGTGATTTTAATAATTTTCATCTAAGTGGAAAAATATTGCCAAAAATAGGCAATTTTCAAAAAAATACATTAACTTTTAAAATATTTAAGCTATTTGTTTGTTCAAAAGCCCAGATAATTCTTCGCGGCAAGATTAAATATATAGTATAAAATCATCGTATAGTATAAAATCATCATAAATGTGTGCCTTGGCGACAGAGCTTCGAAAAGAAGCTCGCAATGTTATTCTTTTACTTTTCCTTGATTGTCTTCTCGTGTTTCGATTTAATAAATTCATATAATAAGTAAAAATCACAATGGAAAAAGTTGATCAGACAGCTCTCACATCTTTATTAAACGGATAATCGGCTAAAGCAAAAAGAGTTAGTATTTGAAATTATTTAACATCAGTTATACAGACATCTTAGTGTCTCTTGAAGGACTTACTCCTGAAGGACTTAAAAGACTTACTGAAGGAGAAATAAATAGAATGGATTTCTTTTCTATTTAAAATATACTCTGGTATTAGATATTTTAACTTTTAGTATGTAGGACCATCAAGAATGGGGAAAGGGGCATCAGCAGCCCAGGGCTATAGGAAAAACTAGTGATATTCAAAAATATTTTTTTAATAATTAAAAAATGTCAATATTTTTTAAAATTGCGAAATATTGATAGTTCAAAAATCTTCTTATTTTATCATAACGATGAAATGAGAAAGAAGGCAATAGTATTCTCATGTCTAGAGAATAAACTTTATAAAAATATAAGATTTATTTAAAAATTTTTAGATGGTTATTTGATCGCGGCCCTTAAATGCAAAATTTTTCTATTGGATACAAATGTTTGGTACACAAAACATGATAGGTTCAATGTTTGGTTCAGAAAATGAGTAAATGAAATAATAAGTTTTCATTGTTTTGGTTTATTTTTGTAGGCTCAGATAACAGTTGCAAACAGAATATGAATTTATTCTCTAACGAATGACACATTAATTACTAATTTAAACACCATTAAAGTTTAATTTCCTGGTAAATAAAAACATGTTAAAACCGAGACAATTGTTTCAGCAAAAATTGATAAAGAAATTTTTGAAGGTAGTTTTCGTTTTAAATACAAAACGAAAATTTATTATATTTTTACTATATTTTTTATATCATCAACAACTTTAAACTGAATTTTTACAAGAAAGCGTGTTTCTTATTCGTTATAGCTCAATAAATTCAATTTCCAACTACTCTGGTAAAAAATACTCTTACAGTCGGGATAACCATGGAAGATTTTCGAAGGCGCAATGGCTTAAGAGATAAAACGTTCACTTCTCAATGAGGTGCCTCAGGTTCGAAACACAGCGGTAGCTGGTTGATACGAAATCTACTCTCGGCTTGCTCTGACCACAGTTCTGACATAAAATAGTGGTAGGCGGATCATGGGTTTAGAATCACTTAGCAGTTTGGCTAAGCGTGGGTGGTTTCGGTTTTCCTTTACGTGTAAGCATATACCGTTTAGTTCCAACAAAAAGTCCTTCACGAAGTTGTCTCAATTCTTGATCTAGGACAGGGTTTCTTAACCTGTGGTTCATGAACCCCTAAAGGGGTCCATGAGTTATAGTTTGGGGGTCCGCTGACTACTCCTAATTTTTAAAATGTTTGGAAGCCTACCCATTGCTTGTAAAGCGAGCTATGGCAGCTATAATTCCATTTGCTACAGTG